AAAAAAACCCCAAAAAAATCAGCGGAAAAATCAAAAAAAATTCCGTGAAAAAACCAAAAAAAATCCCAGAGAATTCCCGGGAATCCTGGAGGGGGAGGGGGGGAATTTTTGCCTTTTTTTGGTGTGAAAAAGCAGGGAAAAAAGAGGGGAAAATTGGGAATTCCGGGGTGAGGCAGCCCCGCCCCCGCTCCCATCCCCCAACATTCCCAGATTTCACCGAGACTCCCAAATTTTCATTTCTTTTCTTTTTTTTTTTGTCGTTTTTTTCCTCGTTTTTGGCCGGGAAAAAAGAGAGAGAGAAAAAAAAAAAAGGAATTTTTTTTTGTTTCTTTTTTTTGTTTTTTTTTTTTGTTTTTTTTCCTTCTTTTTTTTTGTTTGTCTGTTTTTTTTTTTTTTTTTGTAATATTTTTTTTTAATGTTTTTTTTTTTTTGGGAAAGAGTCAAATTCCCGGCCGGAATCGCCTCTCCTAGAAAAGATTCTCCTCGAAAATCGCCAGGAGGTCGCTCTGGAAGTTCATGTCGATCGTCGCCGCCATCTGAAGGGGGGAAAAAAACGGGAAAAATCGGGAGAAAACTCCGGGAATTCTTCATCCCCACCCTTTTCTTTCTTCAGGGAGGAGATTCCCAGAATTCCCAGGAATTTCGGGAATTCCCGGGGGTTTTTTTCAGCATTTTCAGAATTTTTTTGTAATTATTTCTGTCATTTTTTGGGGGAATTTTCTGGTTTTTTTGGGGATGAGATTCCCAGAATTCCCAGGAATTTCGGGCGTTCCCGGAGTTTTTATCAGAATTTTTTTGGGATTTTTTTTGGTTTTTTTTGAGGGAGAAGATTCCCAGAATTCCCAGGAATTTCGGGAATTCCCAGGATTTTTTTTGTAATTGTTTTTCTTGATTTTTCTGGATTTTTGGGGACGAGATTCCCAGAATTCCCAGGAATTTCGGGAATTCCCGGGGTTTTTTTTAGAGTTTTTTTGTAATTTTTTGGGATTTTTTTGGTTTTTTTTAAGGAAGGAGATTCCCAGAATTCCCAGGAATTTCAGGAATTCCATGGATTTTTTTTTTTTCAGCATTCCCAGGAATTTTTTTGGAGTTTTTTAAGGTGTTTCCCCCATTTTTTTGGGGGGGTTTTGGGGACCCCTTTCCCCCCCACTTTTTCTGGAATATTCCGATCACTTTGACCCATTTTTTTGGGACATTTTATCCCATTTTTTAAAGGAATATCCAGGTGATTTTATCCCATTTTTTGGGGACATTTTTCCCATTTTTCAGGACTATCCAGGTAAATTTATCCCATTTTTTTTTAGGACTATCCAGGTGATTGTATCCCATTTTTCCAGGTGATTTTATCCCATTTTTTGGGGACATTTTTCCCATTTTTCCCATTTTTCAGGTGATTTTATCCCATTTTTCCAGCTGATTTTATCCCGTTTTTAAGGAATTTCCAGCTGATTTTATCCCATTTTTCCAGGTGATTTTATCCCGTTTTTCCAGCTGATTTTATCCCGTTTTTAAGGAATTTCCAGGTGATTTTATCCCGTTTTTAAGGAATTTCCAGCTGATTTTATCCCGTTTTTCCAGGTGATTTTATCCCGTTTTTAAGGAATTTCCAGCTGATTTTATCCCATTTTTCCTCCAGCTGATTTTATCCCGTTTTTTTTCCAGCTGATTTTATCCCGTTTTTCCAGGTGATTTTATCCCGTTTTTAAGGAATTTCCAGGTGATTTTATCCCGTTTTTCCCGTTTTTCCCGTTTTTCCCGTTTTTCCCCCGGAATCGCGGGGGTTTAACCCTTTCCTCACCGCTTCCCGGCGCCTCCTCTCCTGCTCCCTCTTCCGGGCCATCTCGCGCTGCTGGTCCAGCATGGACTGCGAGCTCGGAGCCGCCGGCGCCGCCGGAGCCGCCGGAGCCGCCGGGACCGGCCCCGAGCCCGGCACGGCCACCGAGCCCGGCACCGGCACCGACACCGACACCGAGCCCGGCCCCGGCGCCGGCGCCTGCTGCTCCTGGCGCCGCCGAACCTCCTCGTGCACCCGGCGAGCCTGCTCCAGAGCCTCGTCATCTTCTCGGGACCTGGAGTGACCAGAGTGACCATCAGTGACCATCAGTGACCAGAGAGTGACCAGAGAGTGACCAGAGAGTGACCAGAGAGTGACCAGAGTGACCATCAGTGACCAGAGAGTGACCACAGAGTGACCAGAGTGACCATCAGTGACCAGAGAGTGACCAGAGTGACCATCAGTGACCAGAGAGTGACCACAGAGTGACCAGAGTGACCATCAGTGACCAGAGAGTGACCAGAGTGACCAGAGTGACCATCAGTGACCAGAGTGACCATCAGTGACCAGAGAGTGACCAGAGTGACCATCAGTGACCAGAGAGTGACCAGAGTGACCATCAGTGACCATGAGTGACCATCAGTGACCAGAGAGTGACCATCAGTGACCATCAGTGACCAGAGAGTGACCAGAGAGTGACCAGAGTGACCATCAGTGACCAGAGTGACCATCAGTGACCATCAGTGACCAGAGAGTGACCAGAGAGTGACCAGAGTGACCATCAGTGACCATCAGTGGCCATGAGTGACCATCAGTGACCATCAGTGACCAGAGAGGGACCAGAGAGTGACCAGAGTGACCATCAGTGACCATCAGTGACCAGAGAGGGACCAGAGAGTGACCAGAGTGACCATCAGTGACCATCAGTGACCAGAGAGGGACCAGAGAGTGACCAGAGTGACCATCAGTGACCATCAGTGACCAGAGAGGGACCAGAGAGTGACCAGAGTGACCATCAGTGACCATCAGTGGCCATGAGTGACCATGAGTGACCATCAGTGACCAGAGAGTGACCATGAGTGACCATGAGTGACCACAGAGTGACCATCAGTGACCATCAGTGACCATGACCGACCAGAGAGTGACCATCAGTGACCATGAGTGACCACAGAGGGACCATCAGTGACCACAGGAATGGGGGTCACTGCCTGTGGTCCTGCTGGGGTTGGTGGCTCTGATGTTCCTGTTGGTGTCTGAGGTGTCTGAGGTGTCCCTGGTGGTGTCTGAGATGTCTCTGGTGGTGTTTGAGGTGTCTCTCATGTCCCTGGTGGTGTCTGAGGTGTTTGAGATGTCTCTGGTGGTGTCTGAGGTGTCTCTGTTGGTGTTTGAGGTGTCTCTCATGTCCCTGGTGGTGTCTGAGGTGTTTGAGATGTCTCTGGTGGTGTCTGAGGTGTCTCTGTTGGTGTTTGAGGTGTCTCTCATGTCCCTGGTGGTGTCTGAGGTGTTTGAGATGTCTCTGGTGGTGTCTGAGGTGTCTCTGTTGGTGTTTGAGGTGTCTCTCATGTCCCTGGTGGTGTCTGAGGTGTTTGAGATGTCTCTGGTGGTGTCTGAGGTGTCTCTCATGTCCTGTTGGTGTCTGAGGTGTCCCTGGTGGTGTCTGAGGTGTTTGAGATGTCCCTGGTGGTGTCTGAGGTGTTCCTGTTGGTGTCTGAGGTGTCTCTGGTGGTGTCTGAGGTGTCTCTGGTGGTGTCTGAGGTGTCTCTGGTGGTGTCTGAGGTGTCTCTCATGTCTCTGGTGGTGTCTGAGGTGTCCCTGGTGGTGTCTGAGGTGTCTCTCATGTCCCTGTTGGTGTCTGAGATGTCTCTGGTGGTGTCTGAGGTGTCTCTGGTGGTGTTTGAGGTGTCTCTCATGTCCCTGGTGGTGTCTGAGGTGTCCCCGGCGCTCCCGGCCGTGCCCTCACCTCATCCTCTCCTGCTCCCTCCTGAGCCGCTCCTTCTCGCGCTCCACCTGCTCGGCCTGGGCCTTGAGGGCCTTCTCGCGCTCCTCCTTCTCGCGCGCCGCCCGCTTGAACTGCTCGAAGGAGTCGCTCGAGGACTTGGCCGCGGCCGCCGGCGCCGCCGGGTGCTTCTGCACCAGCGACGCCCACGAGCCCATGTTCTTGATCTTCAGGTCCTGCGGGAGACAGCGCGGTCACCCCGGGATCCTGCGGGATCCACCCGAGGAGACGGAGCCTGGAGATCCCCGGCTCCCTCAGCCTGCTGGGACCCCATGGAAGAACCTCTGGAACCTTCCAGACCCATCCCTGGAGATCCCCAGCTCCCTCAGCCTGCTGGGACCCCATGGAAGAGCTTCTGGAACCTTCCAGATCCATCCCTGGAGATCCCCAGCTCCCTCAGCCTGCTGGGACCTCGGGGGGTTCTCCTGGATCCAACCCAGGAGCTTCTCCAGCTCCCTCAACCTGGTGAGACCCCATGGAAGAACCTCTGGAATCTTCCAGATCCATCCCTGGAGATCCCCAGGTTCCCAACACCCCCCTGAACCTGCTGGGACTCCATGGAAGAGCTTCTGGAACCTTCCAGACCCATCCCTGGAGATCCCCAGGATCCCAACCCTTTCTGAACCTGGTGGGACCCCATGGAAGAACCTCTGGAATTTCCCAGATCCAAATCCTGGAGCTTCTCCAGCTCCCTCAGCCTGCCGGGACCCCATGGAAGAGCTTCTGGAACCTTCCAGATCCAAATCCTGGAGATCCCCGGGTTCCCAACCCTTCCTGAACCTGCTGGGACCCCATGGAAAAGCTTCTGGAATCTTCCAGATCCATCCCTGGAGCTTCCCCAGCTCCCCTGGGATGTCCAACCCTCCCTGAGCCTGGTGGGACCTCAGGAGCCTCCCCAAAATCCGACCCTGGAGCTTCTCCAGACCCCTCCCCACATTTTTGGGAGCAGGAACCCCCCAAAAATCCCAAATC